CGAAAGCAAGAGAACACGATGGCTACGAAAGACAAGAGCAACGCACGCATTACCACCTGTCCAGATTGATTAGCAGAAAGACCGAGGAAGAAAGTTTAGCACATACCCATCCGAAAAGTAATTGATATGGAAGTTTCTCCACTCGCGTCCATCGCCGTGAGCCACCCACAGAACAAGGTATCCCATCCCCTCATCAGCTTCGACGAATTCCTTCTCGAATATGTTCTCCGCCGGATCCGGATTGTCGTATTCGGTATCCCAGAACATTTCCTCTGAGAGAATGGATATCTCCTTTGGGGTTTCGCGGTAATCCAATAGCAGGACGAGTCTTCTGGGGTTGACTTTGGGATTCTGGCGAATGAACTGGGCTGTAAGGGATTGTCTGCACGAGCTAATCTAGTATCCAAGTTCATTCTTTGGATCACGAACGTGAGATCGGGGCGACTGATTTCCTCCCAAGGTCGTTGAGGTCGTCGACATCGCCGTCGATGACATGGCCAGTCTTCAGCTTGACATTGTTCAGAGCAATAGAAGACTCGGACGCATGCAGAACATGCACGAAGTTTAGAAGATTCTGAGTCGGAATGAGGGTGCTAGGTAAGGGAAAGCTCAGTATGACACGGCAAAAGAAAAATGAATTCAATTACATTCTCGTTGTGGCAATGAGCCCAGTTGGAAGAGGTTGTTTTGGAGATTTTGAGTTTTGAGACCTTTGCAGCTTCGACCAAGGAGCGGAATCGCGTAAATGGATCGATGAGGGAGCTAGAATCGGTGATTTCGAGATTGGATGGGGAATTGGTGAGCTGGAGTTTGTTGACGCTTCTCAATGATTTGGCTGCTAGATGAAGGATGCTGGGATATAGCAGGTAGGGCTCCATCTCCAATAGGATTCGCTCGTACGTCTCTTCCTTCCATTCGTGATGTAATCGAGGTTGAGATGAGCGGTGTTTCATCATGGATAATATGATTTGGTTGTCCAAAGCATCTGTGACCTGTTTATGACCGCCGAACTCGATGCATTCTAGGAGATACTTGAGACATGAAATGAAGATTCTGCTGTTGAGGTCAGCGCGAGAAGAGTCGGGCTCGGAGAGTGCTTTATGAGATGAAAATCGACGGGCGATATGAGATATTATCGTGACAGATCCCGCTGAGCACAGGGCATCAGCGATGCGACATGACACCTTTGCTATTTGCTGCATGAGGGTGATGTACGCGTCCAATGAATACAGGTCTGAAATTCCTGGTCTCCGGATGTCAAGGATGGTGAGCATTGTCGAAAGGAGAAAAGTCGATGGTTGGGACTCATCGCCAGATGGCAAGAAAGGGAAAATGAACACCCAGACGATGAGCAGGGTGTCATCCCAGTCATCTATATCGTCGAGGATAGCAGCTAGAAGCATAGCAGCTGAAAATATCGGCCGCATATGCTGCTCAAGCACCCAAATTTGTGTCAGCTCCTCCCATATTTCAGGAAATGACGACAGCAATGTGGATTTGAATTCCTCTTCTCTGAAGAAAACATCGAACATGAGCGTCATGCTGTTATGTAGACCTTCTTGGAGCTTCCATTCCCCGGGCGACTGCCTTCCACGCTCCATACGATGGCGCAAGAATGGTATGAGAGGGCCCAGCTTGTGAAGATTCCGTTTGGACAAAGCTCGCATACTGCTTTTGTCGAGCAAGCCATGGGTGAGTCGGTGAGCCAGGATATCCAAAGCTGAGACTGTGAAACGTCCTGGATGGCTGTCGTCAGAGCACCAGTCTGGATAGGATTCGTGAGGAATGCTCGAGATGTTTATATGCTGGAAGACGATGGACATGGTTGTCGGTAGGAGACTGTCGTCGACTGGGATCATGGAATCCAGCTCAACCAAGGCCGCTACGGATCCATTCCGAGCTGCACCTATTATTCTCTGCGCATTATTCGAGTAAGTGCTGTCAGAGACGGTACTGTAGGTGCTTGGTAGGTGCTTACTTTTCTTCCGTTTGTCCTGCCAGAGCTATCTCCGCACGACCTACACAATTTCTCAGGATTTCAGAACGCGGTCAAGGCTGAGCAGCAAATAATGGAAGAAATCCCGCGTTGCGGTTTTGTTCAGGGCTGATATTGTCGCAGGTCACAGTTCCATGTGACAAGTGACAACGGCGACCAGAAGCGACCTTGAGCTCGACCACAGCCGCTAGTGACCGTCAGTCGCTGCAGTACCTCCAACGGGATCTGCGATCTCCGATGACTCTCCAGGAAACCCCTCTTGTCTAATCAACTTTCTTCAGCCCCGACAATTTCGAGCAAACAGTTCAATCTCGAGGCTCGCGCTACATCCGAATCTCAAGCAGCCTCATCCAGGCTCTCTCACACCTCGCCTCTGAGCATCCTATTTTCCTAACAAGAAAAAGACCTCGAGCGGCGAGTCGAGTCGAGACGAGCAGCGATGATATAGCATTATTATCGGCGACGAACAGCTGTCAGCAGCAGAGGATGCGCCAATAACCGAGAAATGTCAGCTCGAGCTCGCCAAAGAGCAGACGACATTCTCGATTCATTCATTACGACTTGATTACGACGGGATCCTGTGCTCCAGAACCCGTTTCATCTTTCCTCATGCCATTTACGTCGACGCATTTCTGGACCCTAGCTCTACCACTCGACAAAGCGGGCTTGCACGCCTCGTCAGCTTGAAAAGGCCTTCAGATCCCGAAGCCGCAATGATGGCCAGGAGGTTGACAATGCACGTGGACGAGAGCACTGGCCGAAACGACGAAAGGAAATAGGTGTGTCTCATGAAAACAAACATTTACAAGGCTGATAATATCCCGTCAGGGCGTGGACGATAAACGGCACCAGCAGAGTACGGTTCTTTTTTTGAGCCAGCTTACCTCCTCGTACGAAAGGATGATCGACCGTGGAAGGAGAACATGCTCACGAACCACAGCTCAGTATTCGTGCTTTTGACGACGTTGGGATAGACGGTCGAGATATGTCTCGTCCAAGTCTCCTCGAATTCAACCAAGGGGATGATTTTGGTCCTACGGATTTCGACGAAGGTGCTCCCAATTCTCGACTTCGGTAACCCAGCGTCCCACTGAAACGACTTTCTGCTAGAATTCTAGGGCGCTCGGATACCGCGAGAGCGGTGGATGATAGAGGAAGGCAAAAATGAACGAGAAGACGATTGGAAACGAAGGAGAGAGGTTCTGTAAACCAGCTGGTCCTGTCGCGGCGCTTTTTCCCTTGCCGCGCCTTCTTTCCAGCTCCATCGACCATCCTCTTCCAGCCCTCATCTTCATTAATCATAATAAACATCGACCTTTTTGGTCTCGGGCTTTCACCTTTCGCTCGACTTTCGACGATCACTGCACCTCCCTCCCATAGCATTCATCTTTGGCATGACTTTTCACAATGTCCATTATGAAAATCACTCAAGAGCTCGTCTCTCGCTCTCGACGTGCTCTCTGTACCCGAAAGACTTTGTACCTCCTGAACGGACAGCTTTTATCCCTTCTATAACCGACGACTTTTTGGATGGCCTTGAAACCAGCCCCATACGTGTCATATGACGCTTGCGATAGACTGTGGCAGTTCAATCTTGTAGAGGAGCAAAAAGTGTACCATTTAAAACCAGTGATTCCAGCGCCGAATCGAACCATGAACTGGAGGTGACGACCGGAACTTCTCGCCCATTGAACAAGGCACTCCCCTAGGGCTCTCGATGTGCATCATTCGATGTCGAAGATGCTACAGGAAGGATTCGGGTCGGTGACAATCTTTCTTTTCTTTCCCTCGTTTGACTGACACAATATACCGAGTCGCATACTAGGCTTGGCTTATAGTCCATTTATCTACCTGTTTTTTCGATGGCAGCTCAATCTTGTAGAGGAGCAAAATGGTGTACAAAATGTTTGAATAACAAAAACAACTGTCAGCCATCAGCTACCAATTCCACTGCGCGGATCGAACCACGAGCTGGACGCTACGACGGACGCTGTATCGCTGGGGTGCAAGGTGCGGGTCGAAGACTCATGTGAGTTCATCGAGGTTTCAGATGCGCCAGAGCTTTGAGATGAGTGGCGTTTGAATGTTGTGTTTCTGTTAAATTGTGGTTTCAGTCGGTCAGTGGATCGCGCTATCTTTTCTTCGCCTTCGCTGGTTTTGCTACTTATTTCTCGTCGTAGGTCGTTAATGGCACCTGATACAATTCTCGTCAACCAGAGCCTCAAAGTGCAAAAGATGTACAAGGGGTCGCGTCGATGCCACAAAAGTAAACAATCTCGCATTCTCTTATTTCACCGTCGCTGAATCAAACCACGAGGTGGAAGCGACGGACACTACGCCAGGAATACATGACGTTAAAAAGTACTGACGTGAGTGTGTCGCTGCTTGACGTCGATATCCTGCAACGAACTCCCTTCGCTGTGGTCTGATTGAATCTTCCGAGGTTCCAGAGCTTGTCAATTGATAATGTCATAGAAGAATGCATCCAGCGACAGGAAGGCACGTTTCGAGCAGGTGAAGATCTTGGGTGAGGCATGTAAGAGAGTTCTGACCGGAGGACCTCCTCATTTCGCTTGTCCTTTGCTGTCCTTTGTCCTTTTGATCTTCAATTTAGTTCTCATTTTGCTCGAGTCTTTTAAAATATTACAATGTGTGACAACGGAGAGACAAAATCCTCAAGAAAAAACAGGACTCTTTTCTTTGCCATGATGTTGATGTGGGGATCGAACCAGTCAACACGAACGGATGGGTGGAGAAGAGTGAATGCGAGTGGATGGATTGGATCCTGTAGAGCGGTTGCATTGGAGTTGGGTGGATGATGATGGAGCTGTAGCAAAGGGTGCACGGGGGGTTGGGGTGCAGTGAGGTGTATCCAGGATGAGTTCACGATGGGACTGGTTGATAGACATGAAGGGAGTTCAAGATACCTCAGGCGTACAAAATAGGGAAAAGGAGAAGAGGTCTCTGCTCTAGTTGTGAACGGGAAAAAAGCACCGCCTAAGAATTCCGGTACGGGGAATCGAACCCCGAGCTGCCGCGAGAGTTCATCTTACCATCCGCGCTCTCATGAAAGGCGGCAATGTTAGCCGTTACACCATACCGGACACACTAATGGTGCAGTTGAGTGTAACATGGGGCTCGCATGACCTCCGGGATACGTGCCCTGATCCATCCTTGATCCCTCGTTCCTGGTCGTGCTGTATTCAAGCTGTATTTGCCTTGCTTCCAACTATTATTGAGCTCAGCCAGCGCTCCCATCCTAGATATCTCGAGGGTCAAAGTCCAAGTTGTTGATTCGCATGTGTTTATACTCTAAGCTCAAGTACATGCATAAACTGGGTATTCATTTTTGTATGAGTGTCATCTGCATAACTTTCGGAAATCTCTCACATACCGCATACACTAACCCGGCAAAACAAATGTCACATGGGTATTTTGACATTTGTAACAGCTCTATTGTGGCGGATCCCGCAGATATCAACTCGAAATAAGATATAGGATGATAGAGGACATTTCATGCTACAAGATAGACTCCACAGAGTTGAGACTTTCTGGGCTCATTATTCCATAAATGGCAATATACCCGGTTTTGATGGCCTTATTTAGCTCGCAGAGGAATAACAAGCCTTTTCCCTCGTTTGACTGACACAATATACCCAGTCGCATACTAGGCTTGGCTTATAGTCCATTTATCTACCTGTTTTTTCGATGGCAGCTCAATCTTGTAGAGGAGCAAAATGGTGTACAAAACGTTTGAATAACAAAACAAAAACAGTCACGTCTAAATGCAAATCCAGTGCGCGGATCGAACCACGAGCTGGAGACTACGACGGGCGCTGTATCGCTGAGATACAAGGTGAGGATCGAAGAGCACTCATGTGAGTTGATCGCGGTTTGACGCTGAAATGCCGCAACGCCAAGAATGTAGACCTCTTCCTCATTGTAAACCAGTGCGCCAGAGCTTTGAGATGAGTGGCGTTTAAATGTCGTGTTTCTGTTGAATTGTGGTTTCACTCGGTGAGTAGATCGCGCTATTTTTTCTTTTGCCTTCGTCGTTGTCAGTAGGTCTTGGCAGATATCGTAGTTTGGCGTGTCATGATGCGTCGTGATCCCATTGCTCTGTTTGCTTTCCTTGTTACGTATCATTGTTCGTATGTTTTGCTTTTGCTCTCTACCCATCTTGTAAGAGGCCGCTAATGGCTTCCCGCATCTGCGACGAACCTCGTAGAAGAGCAAAAGCTGTACAACCAGGTGAACTTTGACCATGCCACCAAAAATAAACCACTCTCATTTCTTCCGATTCCACCATCGCGGAATCAAACCACGAGCTGGACACTATAGTTCAGGAGTACAATATCAGCGCGTCAGCGTCAAAGAGTACTGATGTGATTGTGTTGCTGTTTAAACGTTGATATCCTGCAATGAACCTCCCTTCACTATGATCTGATTGAATCTTCCGGAGTCCTAGAGCTTCGTGGGAGTGGCGTCAATGGACAAATGTAAGGGAGCTTGGACTCCCGGATCTCCTCATCTTGCTTGTCCTTTGCTGTCCTTTGTCCTTTTGATCTTCAATTTAGTTCTCATTTTGCTCGAGTCTTTTAAAATATTACAATGTGTGACAACGGAGGGACAAAACCCCCAAGAAAAAACTGGACGGTTTTCTTTGTGATGTTGATGTGGGGATCGAACCAGTCAACACGAACGGATGGGTGGAGAGGATGCGAGTGGATGGATAGATCCTGTAGAGTGGTGCATTGGAGTTGGGCGGATGATGATGGAGCTGTAGCAAAGGGAGCACGGGGGGTTGGGGTGCAGTGAGGTGTATCCAGGATGAGTTCACTATGGGAGTGGTTGTTAGACATGAAAGGAGTTCAAAAGATACCTCATGCGTATTAAAGAGGTCTCTGCTCTAGTTGTGAACGGCAAAAAAAGAACATCTTCACAAAGAATTCCGGTACGGGGAATCGAACCCCGAGCTGCCGCGAGAATATTACAGTCTAAATCTCTCATGAAAGGCGGCAATGTTAGCCGTTACACCATACCGGATACACTAGCAGTGTAATTGAGTGTAACATGGGGCTCGCATGACCTCCGGCATACGTGCGCTGATCTATCCTTGATCCATCGTTCCTTGTCGTCCTACATTTGCCTTGCTTCCAACTATTATTGAGCTCAGCCAGCGCTCCCATCCTAGATATCTCGAGGGTCAAGGTCCTAAGAGTCAGTGACATCTGCATAACTTTCGGAAATCTCTCACACACCGCATATTACTCTATAATATCACCAGTTTATATCTCTCGATCGTGTCTCCTTATCGGTCTGTCGCTTTGTTTATACAAAACCATCCTCGTCCTTCTAGGAGCTGACGGAATTCTTGGAAACATGTGGAGCTCAAACGACCCATCCGGGAAATCTCGACAGCTGAGATATCAAGGATCACATCTAGCCCAACTCGCACACATCGAGTGGAAGGAATGCATCGGGTTAAACGTACGGAAAGGTAAATTAAAAGAATACCAGCAGCATTCTGGTCCAGGGAGTCGAATACTGAGCTGCCGCGGATATTAGACGTGGTAAAGCGAAATGAGAGGCGGCAATGTTGACCTACACCATACCAGATACGATGGTGAGGGTTAATGCTGCGAAGGACAGGGAGGCCCTTTTTTTCGTTGGGTCTATTTGCGACCCATATTGATAGGGATCCGGAAAACCATCGATTTGACCGCTTTACAGCAGTATCAGGGATATATTCACTGCTAAATCTTGACCGAAAAATGGGTCATTTTAGCGGTGTTTTTGTATTAATATGGCCTGTAAATAGACCTTAGTCTGGTTTCCGCTATGTGATCAAGATGGCTGCCGACGCTCTGGCTTGAAACTTACCGCCTCTTGTGGACAACATGCGACTGGAATTGGCTGTGATTATTTCCATCTTCCTGCCTACTCTCACGCCAAGGGCCACAACAAGGTCTTTGAAGTATCATGTTTAACCAAGGCGATTGATAATAACTATTACGACTCAATGTGGAGTATTTTCCGGCTTACACACGGCCGGTACCAATTCAATTTCTTCACGCAATGTTTCTCTACTACATCGCTGCTACTAAATAGAATATCAAAACAGCTTCAATGACGCCTTCGTGATGCAAGCATGATGTATGAGTTTTGGGTCCTTTCTCTGAGTAATATAAATTGCTTTCTGCCAGATGCGATTTCCTCCCATCGGGAATGCAACTTCGCGATTGATGGTTGTATTTCGCTCGTCCTCGTGTTGTAAATCCCTTTATTCTCGGAAATGAGCCACGAAATTGTATCACTTGCTTACAATATCTGTTAAATTGTATTACTTCTCATATTTGTCGGACAGTGCACCACCTTGCAGACAAGCCAAATTTGTTTGGTTCAGATATTGGAATTGCTCAAATTTGCTTGGCGCAATGAACTCAGCAACTTGACAATATTCGCGCCAATGTTGAAACCTTCTGCACCCGTAATTTCCTGAAAGGGCAAATGAATTTCCCGAAAAAGAGAGCAGCGGTGATACAGCTGTCTACCAACATCGCCTTGGATACCGAGTTTTGAACACCGTGGGGGTCATGTGAAAGGTTTTCTGATTGCATCAATGCCCGAACCGGTCGATAACGCCGACTAACGGCGGCTGAATGCGGCCTCCGCGCCACAATCTAATCTAATGTGGCAAACCTGCTTTTCAACTCACACCGACACGCACGCACGTACTTCTTCTCATGCTCAATCGGAATGAAGTCTCCGTTTCAGTTTCAATTAGAATGGAATTCAATGCAATAATGCCTTTGTTTAGCCATGGTGTATCGTATAAAAGGCGGGATGGATTCACATATTCTGCATCAGCCTCGACACACTCTGAACAATGCGATTCACTGCTCTTCTCGCCTTCTCTCTTCTCACTTTGACCTATGCTCTCCCTAACCCGGAGGCTGCCACCGGTGACATTGTCGCTCGTGACGAGGTAATTCCTTTCGAACTCTCAAGAGTCTTCTAACAAACAACCTTCAGACCGATCTCGAAGCTCGCGATGTGAGATTAATTCACCATTGCAATCTCTGTTCTGGCTGACGTCGTGTTCTAGGGAGGATACGGCGACGACTATGGGGGCGGAGACCGACGCCACAGACACGGTCACCACAAAGGTCACAAACACCACCACCATGACCACCACGTAAGTAGTAAAACGGCAGTCCTTTGTGATTCTTCTCATTTTCCCCTTAAGCATGGTGGATATGGAGGCTACCGCCGCGATGAAGCTGCTGCCAAAGGAACTGGCACCAGTGCTACTGTATGCCCCATCAATTATCTGCCTCTACCTTTGACTAAGTATAGCTCCAGGGTGACGGCTTTGGCTTTGGAGATGGCTTTGGCTTTGGAGATGGTTATGGCTTTGGAGATGGTTATGGGCGAGGACGTGGACGTGGACGTGACCGCAAGCACCGTCACCGTCACGGTCATGTAAGAGCTTGTTTCCTGATTCATTTATTCCAGGGTCTAATCAGAAACTGCAGCACCGCGGGGATCACCGAGGCCACGGAGGCTATGGCGGCGGCTATGGTGGCGGCTACGGTGGCTACGGCGGCGATGGTTATTGATGCACATCACCACTTTCAATATCGGACTATAGTTCCCTTGGTCTCTCTGCTCTCCTGATTGTAGTGCTAACTCTTTACTGTCTTGATTGTAATAACTGTGTATGAAGCTGTACTTGTATATGGAAGAAATTCAACGTGTATATGATGGAAACCTACCGCAAATACAACAGAAGAATTGATTCGACCCGGCCTATCGCTCCAGCATTTCATTGACGGAAGCAAGGCCTGGGTCTCACAGCCAGCTACATGTTGAATTTAAACAATATATCGAAGTAGGCAGGCTGGATTCAAACTTAGAACGGACCAAGGTCGTAGGAGTTACACTTCTAATAGTGCCCAACGGTACTCATTGAGCGATATATTTGTGTCAGGACCCGAGTCGTACTTATTTTCTGTCAGAGTCGCACGGGAGAGCGTCCCTTTCTGAAATGTCGGCCCGACCAATTCGAAGCTACTTACTTATTCAAAGCCATCCGAAATCGCGATATTTGCCCCGGTGACTCATATTTCACGAGGCTTTTTGATTCTCTTTGTTATCTTTCTTTCGCCTTTGATGATCAAGTACATAGTAAGTTTCGTTCGGTCGCAGAACACAGCTCTCCAGTACAATGTACTACAAATGTACATCAGTGATTTAACTTCATCCGAACGTTTCGGAACCCGGTTAACTTTTAGGCTGGCCGGTTAACTTTTAGGCTGGGAAGGTGTCGGCTAGTTTCTAGTCAGGGAACTGTGGGGTTGCGGCCGCTCGACGGAGCGCCCATAAGATTCTTGCCGGATTGACCTAGCGGTGACCAACCTGAGCCATTCCAGCTGAGCTCAAGGATACACGAATTCGCGATTCCTCCCTGCCTGTCATTGCAGAAAAATACCAGTCCATCAACGCGATTATCACAGGTGACAGCATCAATCCTCATCAATCCTCATCAATCAGCTGTCCGTTTAATCAAATACGGCATCGATCGCCCGCGCAAAATATGGGCCGGAGGCTCCGAGAGCGGTCTGTTGGTCCTGCGAGGAGTCTTTGAAACTGGAGTGTATGTACCTCGGTACTCGAGCTACATCGTTGAACTCAAGGTTTCTCCAAATCGGCAAGGTCGTTCTTCTCATATCGACTTCCACAATATCGAATTCTTTCTCCTCATCAAAATTCTGTCATCATTTTAGGTCTTTTTTAAATTTTCACTACTGCAACGGGCCGGCCTGAATCTGTGATCTACCATCGCATCAACAGCCGTTTATCATATTTTTCAGTAGGCTGGTTCTTCGGGCCTCCGATACCTATATGTACTAACTAACAGAAACCTTTTCTGATGTGGTGCTAAACTGTTATGCTAAACTGTTAGGGTCCAGGAGTGGACCAGGGAGCTCAAGCAATTCCCTGAAATCATGAAACACGAAACATCTGCCCCAGTCAGTTCGATCGCGTTCGTTCCTGTTTTGTGATGGTATCAATGGACGTATACGATCTAGCAAAGGCTACTTAGCAACCGAAAGTTAATTGAGAGGTCAGAGTTTACCCCAGACTCGGAAGTATAAAACACAGACAAAAATATGATACGAATCAAAATCCCATTCCCATTCCGTGTTCCCTTGCCTGTTTCTGTTCCTTCATTTGCCCTCTGTTTTAGACGTTGCACTCTACACTCATTTTATACATCCGAGATGTTTTCAACCACGCTTGTCCCTCTTATGCTCGCTCTCTCGGTTGTAGCCGCTCCAGCAGCGCCTGCAACTGCTTTCAAGCCTGGAAGTGGCGCATCAGTCAACTTGCTGAAAAACGTCACAGTCCCGATCCCAGCAGGCTCCAGTTTGGCTGCACCGGCCGCTCCCGTCGAATTCGTTGGCCTGGGTGTCGGTATTCAAAATTATACCTGCACTGCTGGCGCTTATGTGTACGTCTCCTCCGTTTTCCAGACAAATATCATACTTATTGGTTTATCTTCAGTTCCACCGGAGCCGTCGCTGAACTCGTCGATATCAGCTGCATGGTCTCTAAAGCTGCCGCCTTTGCAGCCATCCCCGATATCGCAATGGCTGCCTGGTCAAAAGCCCCCGCTTCCCTGACTGCTCAGAAACTCATCTCGATGTTATCTGGCTCCATCGGCCCAGTAAAGTCGCTCGGCCAGCATTATTTCATCACAAACCCCGTCACAGGCACCGGGATATCGCCCGTGTGGGATTTCAAGGCCTCTCAGGCGAATGCCCAGGCCTTTGTCGTCGCGGCAAAAACCGGTGCGGCTGATTCACCTCAAGGGACACAGAATGTTCCCTGGTTGTCTCTTGCGAGTGTCGCCGGCCAAGGTTCACTCGCGACCCAGATCTACCGCACTGATACCCGTTTGGGCCAACCTCCTGCGACCTGTACCGTCGGAACCCCTGATATCAGCGTGAAATATGTTTCCAAGTATTGTGAGTCCCTTTTTCGTCAGTGATTTTCGTATTCTGACGGCTGGACAGATCTCCTTGGAGGTACTATCAAGGTCTAAATCATCAACGGGACCAGTACTACCTTATCTTCTTTATGGTACCGTAGTTTGAGAATTAATTTCGTAGCCTAGGTGCTGTGCACATTTATATTGGTTAGAGGTACATGATGGAAATTTTGGGATTATTTTACGTGGAACGATCTAAGGCAACTCTCAGCGTATGATTTGTCTGCATAAGCTAATCTGGTATTCAAGTTGGGTCTTTGGATCGCGAATATGAAAGCGGAGCGACTGATTTCCTTTCAAGGTTGTTGAGGTCGCCGACATCGTCATCGATAAGATGGCAGCTTGACATCGTTCATAGCAATAGAAGACTCGGGCGCATGCAACGCTATGCAACGCCCGGCGTGTATTTTCCGAGCCCCGACTCCCGGTAATATCCTTTTTGATCAGGCTCCTAAGACCAGCCCCCGATAGGTTGTCAACTATTGGGCCAGAATCAGTTGCAAGATACTCGACATGTTCTCCGAGCAGTGGCAGGCGAACGAGATTCCCGAGGAGACGCAGGTGATCTGTGGCGTACAGAGACAATGATGTGTGGCGCACGCAAGTTCCAGAGGCGCTTGGAGAGGTTGTTCCGTTTACGTTGATGGTGAGTCTCCTTCTTTTTCTCTTGACTGATTTCATTTCTCTTATTTCCCCTGTGATCCTTCTTTCCCATCGGCATCCATGCTGACACTGCTTCCAGGCTAAAGGATACTTGCCTACCACCACTTTCATAACCCTCCAGCAATGACATTTATGCTGCAGAGCTCATGGGTTCAACTCCCGCTGCCCCCACCCAGGAGAAAACATTCTTGACACTCCTGGCTTTCAAACCACAGCCGACATCGGCCATCATTCCCTAGCATGATGTGCACTGGCAGCATTCACCTGGTCATCACACCATCACTCATGCCAAGTGGAAACTATCTGGCGTCATGCCGGATCACCCCAGTTTGGAGATACGGCAGTCCGTGCCGAGTAATAAAGCAGAAGACTCCTGGGAACCAAGAGAGATTGCAGACTGATTATAATTAGTTGCTACATTTGGGATGTACTACTAGACTCCGACATAGGCCCTAACGGGCCTGCAGTGAGAATAATGGAATCATCATCATCATCATAACCCTCAGATGCGAGCATGGAACCTTGAACGTACTGATTGGGATATGCAATCTGTTTTGCCCATCAAAAACATTTTGTGGCGTATCAAAAGGCTTTTGGAAGGCACAGGACTTTTGAGCGCCACAATGTTGACAGGGCTTTGGCGAGCGCGGAATATCTGATCATGGATAGTATCCAGACCCTCAGACTGTTGGATATTTATATGGTCGAGGGTCGAGTGGGGATATATGCGCATGTGGGTGCTGTGGTGAATGTCGAAATTCAGAGGGATACTGTCGGGTGCAGGTAGAGACTCGCTTATGGGAGTTGAGGGATAGCTGTAATATTCTGAGAAAAATAGTATGTTCTGAGTTGGTGGCGACGGGATAATCTTGAGACTACGGCTATCTGAGCACTGTAAGAGTCAATTCAACTGCCTCAACCGCATACTCGTGACAGTCTAGATTCCCTTTGCATCTGGAGACGATACAGGTACTTATTTGAGGAGACCGGAGAGGTACAGTACTTGGAAGTTTACAATTTCTTTGGCGTCGTGTGCAACTGTCAATGCCAACTGTAACACAATGTAATGTCTTCCTTCGCTATTGGGCCATGACACTCGGACTTGCCTTGTCGGACATTTGAGACTGAAGCCAACGACGAACTGGTCTTCTTTCTATAAGCTGCAACTCGTTGAATGAAACCATCATGCTTCTAAGAAACGACTGAATCCTTCCAGAAGGCTACCACGACGAGAATTGTTCAAATGATGACCTGCTTCAGGCCGAGGGATCACATCGACGTCGAAAAGTGCCACGGGCTATCGAGATTCTGAGAAACGGAACATCAAGTGAAATGGGAGGGAAAAGGTGACTCGGAATGACTGGTCATGAATGTAACATGCAAAAGTGCTTTGCGAAAAAAAGAATACTTTTTTGCCTATTCCGGTACTTACAGGGAATCAAACCCTGAGCCTGGCGTGCAAATGACAATGTGTGGCGAACATCTGATGAGAGACAGAAATGTTCACTATTAAGCAATCTACTTACCAGGAATGAATAACCTTGAGAATATCCGATTGAGATTTCAGTCAGTCCTGAAGTGAATCAAAAATCCAGTCTCACCGAATACAATCCTGATGTCCTTCGAGGGGCCGCTGAATCCTAGGTCGAGCTCGTCAAAGACTGGGACGGAAGGTTGATTTCTGCAAGCAAGACAAAGCATGATCCATTGTCTGATTCCATTCAGGAGATATTGATAACCTGATAAGAAGTTGAATACCTCCTTGGATCACATCTAGCCAACTCCCAACATCGAGAAGTGGAGAGAGCAATGAGTGAAAGGCGTGGGAAGTGGAGATCGATGAGTGAAATGTGTTTGCTGTTTGTTGTATTGCTGGAATGTTCCTTGAAAAAAGAACCTAGCATGTCATCCATTTGGGGATAGGGAATCTCACCCTGAGATAATGACCATGTCCCAACTGAGCTACTTAAGATACAATTCTTCACTCTCTTATTCGCCAAGCAACAACATTTGCCCTCATCAAAACAATCCACCTGGATCCCTTCCTTATCCTTCTGGGCGACAACCGAATCCTTCCAGACATCAAAGGCTGAGATGTCAGAATGTTCTTCGAGCGACGAAGGATCTGTTTCTCCGAGCAATCGTCGCAGGAAGACATATCGACATTCTGGAACCAAACTTGATACCTCCTTCAAGACGAAGGACATGACGGCGGCACATCAAGAAGTGGGATTTTGAGAAGCGAAGAGCGTCGTTGGAGGGTCGGCCAATTGAAATGGAACGAATGCGTTGACTGGGGAAATGAAGCAATGCGTCGACTGGGAATTGAGGAATTCACATAGATAGCATTCATCTGGATGTCAAAGCCTTTGCGAAAGATACAAAAAAAACCACAAGCGCTAGACAGAAATCGGAAATCAGGTAAAGGGCATCGAACACTGAGCCGCCGCGCCAACGAGTCTGAGAGACGATGTCCAACAAACTCAAATGAGAGGTAGCTGCATTGAAAGTGTTGACTGATCTATACTTACTAGTCAAAGATACCGTAACCACCCTTTCACTCTGACCTCCCGTTGGAAAGCGATAGCACACCCGGCGTCTTCTCTTGTGACTCATTCACAACCATCCTCGTGTTTCAAGAGTTGGTTGAATTTTTTGAAATACAGGGTCCAGCAATGAGATGGAGAAAAAGGGTCGAGTGAGATGGAACAGAATTCCTACTCGCGAACAAGTCTGAACGCAAACACCTTTTTCAAAAAAAAGATGTAAATGCTTGTGCAAGAGACTATTCCGGTACGGGGAATCGAACCCTGAGATACTACACAAATGACCTGTGCCAAACGACTCCGTGAGAGGCAGCGATGTTGGCTGATACAAGGACTCCCTGGCGAAAGTGTCAAGCTAAGCACTATACTTTCCCTTCCTTCTCTCCGCAACATAGTCTTCTCTGAATTTGAATTGAACATGATGCAAGCTAAAACGACCCACTTTTTCCTTCCATCTCACTCGACCCTGCCTAGTCCACTTGACTTCTCGATGTCACGTCGTTGCCAGGATCATGGGGTATCTGGGGATCTTTCGGCTGCAGGGGCAATCCAGCTTCGTCGACATATCCCAGATGAAGTGACATAACAGAATTCCAGGTTGCGAACAAATTTGCAGGCAAAAGCTCTCTTCTGAAATACTTTTTTGCCAAAAGGATGTAATACTGTTTGCAACAAAGATGCGATACTGGAGGTCGAGTGGGAGGGAAGAAAAGAGTCAAGTCAAGTGAATGAAATCCTACTCGCGAACAAATTGGAACGCATAAGCTGTCTGCTGAAACACTTTTTGCGAAAAAGCTGGATTCGTTACGAGGAGTCCTGGGACAGGGAATCGAACCCTGAGCTGCCGCGTAATCAATCGGCACCATCGCACTGAATGAGAGGCGGCAATGTTAACCATTACACCATACCGGACATAATGAGACGAGTTGGTGATACACCTGGAGGGAGGCAGATGGTAATGTCGCTGGAGCGCGCACTGAGCTGAGTCGAGCGACTGGATAATGAGTTGTGGCTGGATCTGAGATTCGAATCGGTTGATGACATCGCTTCTTGCATTCGCCACTCCGGTCCATGTCGCAAAAAGTGGGAAAGTCTGATCAGCGCTGACGAAGTCTGATGGCCTGATCAGGCCTGATCAGGTCTGCTGAGGTCGCCGCGGAGCGTGATCAGACCATATCAGACCTTGTCAGAGCTGGTCAGTTCATCATTGATTCATCACCGAATACATATGTTGTAGTCAGTCCTTTGTTGTTCCAATTGGTATTGCAGCGAAGGAGGTCTCGAGCCAGAGACCATTGTCATCTAGGGATACATATCTGACCTGGAACAAGTTGAAGGGGTGCTCCTCCGAGTCCTCAGTTCTTTCATGTGTACCATAAAGAAGAAAGATATGCCCCTGGATGTGCTGGAATATTATTTCTGTCGCGCACCTAGAAATTAGTGTAGCACTCTTTTTACTTGGTTTTTTAAATGCATTACTCCTGGTCTCCTCCAGTACCATTGCCATCCTTTGACTAAACATTTGAACAAAAATCATGCAAACCTTGAAATTTCGCGCACATTTCGGGCCAAATCCAAATCCGGACATCACGTGCAACAGACCTCCATTCCGTTTAATGCCCACCTTCATCGCTTGTTTGTTGTCCTATTCATCAGGAGGCTTCCTAAATCCCAATATAATCTAATTCATAAGCAAATGGATCCGTTGACGCATTTTAAACACGTGATATAGCCCTATTTGAAGAGCCAGGTGAAGTACCTGAGACGAAGGTATTGGTACGCAGCTTGTTCTCTCTGCCATTGTAATGTCTCATATAATTCTAGGATTCTAGCTCTAAATTTCATTTACATGAATACTGGGGTCCTAGTTGGTGGCAGCCTGGTAGAATGACCATGCGAGGCAGTGTCCCAGCAGATATTGCAAGAGATAGCATAGCTTAGAGGCTGGCTTTCTGATGCAATACCTTGCAGAACAAGGTCCCCAGTGATCATTCAAACCCATTGGATACTAGATAGCGACTTGGTCTGTCGATCGCCGAATTCGGAGAACATACAGGTATTGGAGAATCTATAGGTCTATGGACTCCATAGACTCCATGTGATAGTCCATTATATAAGCGATCAATATTAGATAATAGATATGTGTCATATCACGCAATCACATTCTGTCATCACCGTGCTTGCTCCTGACAGTCTTGTTCGCGCTCATTGACGCGCCCATTCCTCAGTGCTATGGCGAAACCTTCTCTTGTGGATATATGCTCCATCTTGTCACAGTCTCCGACCCTTTTACAGCAGCTCACCATTGATGATGTCCTTACCTTCATCCGGTTGACAGCAGGGCTGAAGAACGACATTCTCTTTGGCCAGAAACCTTCTCATAATCCCGAAACCATCCCTCAAGAGCTTCCTCAGAATGTGCTTTCCTTTCTGTCTTCCACCATGAATCTATCCTCAGAACATATCCATTATTTATGGGACACCTTTCGTGTCACCATCTGGACAGAGAACCATTGTCCGAAGGAACAGGCTGCTCAGGACAGAGCCCGTTTCCATGAGAACTCCGAGAGCGAGCTCAGTAAGCATTTTTATAGCCATGATCCATTTATCTGATTCAAAATAGTGTTGCATGCCTTGTATCCGCCAGTACATTTTTGCGTGCATGCGGATTGCCCCAGCAAGACTCGTCTTCTCTGGGTGAAGCCTGGGTCTTCTCAACGCCGCAAGGTCGTCCTATTCACCCTTTCTGACGGGGCTGTAGCTACCTATCACGTCAAATTAATTTGCAAAGGCTCGTTCATTGTCAATTTATTGCAACTTTTCAGCTTATTCCTTGGGATAGATTGTAACACCAGCTATCACCACAATTTCTATGTTCAAAATAAAGTTTGTGTATATTATGATGGTGTTCCGAAGGTCGTCAAGATCACAAAGCATCATTATGCAGAATCCACTGTCCTGTGCTTGTTTATCGCTCAGATGCTCAATGCTTGGCATGTATAATTATTCATGGATCACAATTTTCCTCTTAACAATTTCATTTAGGACCTCTGCACTCAATGCCGCCACAATCTATAATACAGTGCTTGCAAAACCTCATTTTCAACCACAGGACTGGGGTGAATCCAATTTTGATTTCGAGTCTCGGACAGAGCACATATGGGAAGGAATTATCATGCTCTGTCTTCTGGAGGATTATGCAGATCGCAGCACAATTCTCAGTGTTCTGCATGATGGAGAAGCAAAGGACCGATTCACTGCTGCAGTCCAGGAAAGGAATGAACGTTTCGAGAGAGATGGACAGCCAGAATGGGCTCATTAATGCGACAAATGTGTCCGTTTCTTTCAAGGTGACGATGGAAAATGGTGTAAGTCTTCTGTCGTTCAATTCCAACTCAGTCGCTCACCTTTCTGACAGACAAAGTCAGCGCTATTGTCAGTGATGGTGTCACCATCGGTCACCCATGTTGTGGTGTAATTCATTGTCCTGAACCTCTCGAGCATCGCAACAGCCGGTTTTGTGCTGGCCATTCCTTTCTTCACAAACTGTGTGCTGTCGAAGGTTGCTCAGAGCCAGTTGCCCAGGATCGATTGACCTGTATTGATCCTGAGCACCAGCAGCTCGAGAATCGACATCGTGCCAGAAATATTGCCAGCTTCGAGCGAAAGAAGCGTGCTCAACGACAGCAGGTCTCAACTCCAGCAGATGAAGATGCAGATATTCCAGATGAAGGTATTGAGGAAGAGGAATGTCCTTCGAAGCATGCAGAAGGCAATCGTATCCTTCGGGCAATGCTTGGTCGTCGTCAAACTCACAATGAGCAGCTGATGATTCGACCGTGTGGAATCATAGTCGCTCGAGGAACTTTTTATGGTTCTGAGACCATTCCTCAGGTTGTCGTGAGTCTTCTCTTTGTTTCTCTGAATATCTTTAACCAATATTTGTTCTGCAGGACATGCTCAAGAAGACCTTTCGGGTTCCAGGCTCGATGCCTGATCTTTTCATCTACGACACCTGCTGCGGCGTTTACAATCATCTCTCAGCTATTCAGGATCCCATTCTCGAGACCACAGGGTTTCCTGTTGATCTTTTCCACTTTGAGTGCAAGCACAAGAAGACTGACACTGTCTGCCAGCAGCACTGCAATCCAGCGCTATTCCCCAAGATGATCAACCCTGACGGAAGCAGCTACTTCAACACCTCTGTCTTCCTGTTGTTTGATTTGGCTGTAACGGCAATGGGAGAAGATGATCTGGATGATGCTGGAGATAGAGGGGGTGCATGACGAGCATTCTTGTAAGGCTGGCTGACCTCGATGTCAGGAGAATGAGCTCACTTTCGAGACGGCTTGGTGGAGGAAGATGATTTCGAGAATAATGCTTCCAGACCAGGGCACTCCGTGACGCCTGGAGCACGAAGAACAATATGTTGTCCAGTGGTAACTCGGATTGGTGTATCAAGCTCGGAATGCCAAGCGCGAAGGGTGGGATCGTAGACCTGGATGCCAACAAGGGAGAACAATGACAATTTCTGGTCAATGCCAGCAAGACGAGAGATTCGGACGGTCGGCCAGGTTGAGACATGGATCGGAAAGAGAGAGGATTCCTGCTTGTCCTGTACATCATGAATGAATACAAAACCAGACTATCAACATGAAAACTGGCTCACCACAGCATAAAACCACAAATTGACCCTGTGATTTATTTCCTTTTCATTCTGTGCCCGTGCTTCTGCTGCTTGGGCATGAGCCTCTCTCACAGAAAGATTCGTGTTTCTGTCCTCTAACCATTCCTCTGGTAGCGGCTTCTTGAAAATGAAAGGGTCTGACATGCTGGAAGGCGACTCTGAAGGAAATGTGAAGGTCGATGCTGATGGCTGTGATAAAGGGATTGATGGCAGCGGTCGAGACAGCTTGTGAGGTGCTGTGGATACAATGACGGCTCGAGCATTGTTGAGATTATGCTTTTTGTATTGGCATTGAATACCGCTTGCCTTGCAGCAGACACTGCATTGATGTGTCGAGCAGGCCTGCGCTTTAACAGTCCGCATGCAGCCAGGCTGCTTGCAGCGATTGTTCTTGGCTTGGCTTGGTCCATTGACCAGAAACTCCAAGGTAGACTGACCCGGAGACTGAGAAGGAAATTGCGTAAAGGGTGGTTGGTCGAACAAGCCATTCTGATAATCAGGCCTAGGCGAAGAATTGGGAAAATCTAGCAGTGATGGAGATGGTGAATTATAGAGATGGAATTCTCGGGAATTGGAAGGAGCTGGCGGGAACGATGGCCATTTTCCAGGTGGAGATTTGGTTGGTGAACGACTAGCTGGTGACGCGCCAGGCAACCAGGTAAAATAGCCGCAATCATTACACTAGAAGGGGTTTCAGCAGATATCAAGGGATATAGAAAAGAGAAAACATACCCTCTGGCAGCTCTTCCCCTTGTTCGCGCCCGTGCAGACAATCTTGCGAGGAATGATGGCTTTGCATGCTACCATTTCAAGTCCGTCAAACTGTGTACCGGGACAGGGCATATATTCATAAGGATCATACATAATAGAAAGGCGTGAAGGCATTGGTGTCATGAAAGGCGCCACGAAAGGAATGGCTGGAGAAGAAATGAACCTGCTGACCAAGAGCCAACACAGTCAGCAGCGATTACAGGCAGCCGTCGGGCCGTCAAATTATTTAAATCTCAGATGGCACGTGCTATCTATGGACTCCATGGACCCCTGGACTGTCCGAAACCTGAAATCTCTGCGAATTCGACCCTTTCTGTCACAGTCACATTATAATGGGTGGGAAACGGCTTATTGACTGTTATTTGTTCCCTGCCAACTGTCAAAAATGATCGGTTCCGAGAGGTTTCGCATTGGCCTGCTCTGGATTAGCGTGTCTGCGGTTAGTATTGTAGGGAAGAAATGTTCATATGTATATTAGCTTTTGAAAACCGATTTTTTTGTATTTTTCCGTGCTCATTGTCTGCCAGTATATTGCTTGCCATATCACAGGAACTTTTTACCGAACTGTCTCCATTCCTCGATTTTAGCAGCTCTCCACAGGGCTCGCTAAGCTCATGGATCAATTCTAACATGTTATAAATATGTCAATGCATGAAATCTGCATCCCAGATTTGTCCTTTGTAGCACTATCAACCTTTGGTGCTGTATGACTTTCTGGTATGCCACAGTTGACCTGAGAGAGCCTATAAGACATCATTTTGCATTGTCTACCGATACAGATACATTTTCTAGCTAAGTTCCGGTCTATCATCTATTTCTACATCATCATCAATGTCCATAGCATCTGGAATGCCCTCAAACTCAGTGTCATCCCCTAAATATATAGGGCTGGGTGTGGCAGAGGCCATTATTCAAAGCTTCGAGGTCCCACATTCAACCAAATGCAACCCCGAGAAACACCAGCACTGTCAAGCCAATTGGGAGGATCAGTGGTTCAAAAAGATCTCATTCCGCCTGCTCGATCCGGATGACATGCTTTGCCCGGCATTTCTTGTTGCAGCCTTGGAGAATATCAAACACCATGACATGGTCCCAGAGTGCAGAAAGTTGAAGTTGGTATGGCTGGCCCAGAATGAAGGACAATTGTTGGGATTTCTGGACAGGATTCAGACCGGTGTTCTATCCAGCCTCACGAATTATTTCATGACTGATCCAGATGCTCCGCTAGAATATAGTTCAGACTTGGCATAATATTATAGCCATTGAACAGCCTAATTTCATCCATCGGACTTGTTGGAATCCACTGGAGCATCGTGTGACTGTACAAGGGGCTGGCGGAATTCAAGGTAACGTCAAAAAAAAAAGTGCAATCATATCTTATCGCATCAGGTGATAAGCGCCCCAGACGGGCCGAACATGCGCGTGCGACATTCTCTGGAATTGTGTGCGAAAAACAGTCAACCTCCTTATATTCAAGACTACTAGACAAATTCAGCTACTGAAGGGAATGGTGAATCAATCAGTAAAAAATGCGCGAGACATGAATTCTAAAGTGCGCGACAGAAATAATATTCCAGCACATCCAGGGGCATAGAAAGACTCTAAGAGCAAGATGTCAGACTTTCGCAAAAGGCTGACTGGTCAGACTGGATCAGGTCTGATCAGAAGATGGGTATATATACGGGAAAGTAACACATGTTCTAGTTGACTCTGTAGTATAGTAGTAAAACATGTCTGCATAAGCTTTCTTGTTTTAATGTCGCGCAAGTTCAACTCCATCCTTTCACAATATTTAAATGTAAGTCCCATACTCATAAGTTATAGTAACCAAGTAAAATACTGGCCAGTACAACTCACTCTCGGGTGGTAGTACTGGGGAGACCTTTTTAAAGCCTTTTGCACCTTTCATTGAATAGCCCTTTTCACCACTTATCAGGCCGGTCAGCCTGATCAGCGGCGTCAGAGACGATCAGGCCTGTTCAGGCCTGTTCAGACCTGCTCACACCCTTTTCAGCCTGATCAGACTCAAATCCTCTGACGGCCTGACCAGCGCTGACCAGTTCTTTTCAGCTCTGGTTATCCAATTTGAGATTTTGCGACACAGACTCGTACCTCCGAAAGTCCACATGGCCACTGGCTTCTATAACCCCAAGCCGCATCATGAAAGCCGCTGTCAAGCACAAGATCCAGGGCTGCAAAAACCAACTTGAAGAACCTTTTGACAAACGCCGCAAGCAGCTTTGCAGACCAATCCGGTTTTTCTCGACGGGCTACTTCTTGTCTCCGGGAGAAGAATACGTTCCAGGGAATGAGGCCTTGATGATGAGCGAGTACAGTACAAGGTAGTCATTCCAGAACCATTGGGGTGCAGAGTGTGAGGGTAGTGGATAGCTCTTTGATCCCAAAAGCTTCCACCTTTAGACGATTTCGATCAACACGATTGAATGGACTCCGCGAAACCTACTTTTGTCTAAGCCGTGTGGTTTGCGCAGTTGGAAATCGGACGCACCTCTTAGTACGACAAAAATCCAGTGCAAGGGATTTGGTGGCTGGCAAGCAGAGCGACGGCCCTTCCTCTGTACCTTCATGGAATCATGCTGGAGGAACGGGATCGGTGTGTAGGGATGTTGATGAGCTGGTCATTGTCTTCTGGCAGCAAGGCTGGTAGAATACTTATACTTAAGCCCAAAGTGCAGTGGGGGTCGTGACAAGCATCTGATTTTCCCAGCACGTGGGTGTGCACCGCGTCATATTGATCGGGATAGCAGAGACTTTAGGACGCGACATCAACACAGTATACAATAGGTACTCAATTAATCAATTATGGCGACCGTATTTGTTGGATAAAGGTGTTGTAATTGGATGTCAGTACTTATTCCAATGCAAAGATCGTGGCTGAATGACTCAACAGTGTGTTGGATGACCAAGTGCATCGTTGCATTGAAAGGGGTGGATTCGGGCTCGGGATATATGAATCGGATGCAAAAGGAATGCGTCGAGATGGTGAAAGGGAAAAAGTGACGATCATTATCGGTCATCCAGTATTCGCAGCCATGGTACAGGGAATCGAACCCAGAGCTACAGTGCACAAATGAGCTGTGCCAAACGACTCCATGAGAAGTCGCAATTTTAGCTGATATACTCCCTAGCGAAAGTGTTGAGTACTATACTTGCCTTACTATAAAGTGGTACTCTACCTGCCATAAAGTGTTAGGATCTATACTCACACCTTTCCCATTCTTCTCTAAATTCGAGTCTGACATGTCAAGTTAAAACAACTCATTTGGGACACTTGTACAGTATGTCCCCTGCAGCCAAAATCTCCAGATACCCATACAGCCAACTTTGATCCAGATGGAAGAAAAAAGCAAAGTAAATAACAGAATCCCTGGTCGCGAGCAAATTTGAACACAAAAGCTTTTGCGAAAAAGATGTGAAACGAAGACCGAAGAACACATTCCAGTACAGGGAATCGAAACCTGAGATACCGCACAAACGAGCTGTGCGAAACATCCTCATGAGAGACGGTATATCCTCCAGAGGAAAAGTGTTACTATACCTATCATAAAACATGCCAAGCCAGAACAACCCATTCGGGACGTGTCGATGAAGCTGAGTGCCCCTCGCAGCCGAAAGCTCTCTAGAGACCCCGTCCACTTCAGTCCCGACATCGAGAAGTGAAGTGAAGCAGGGGAGGTCGAGTGAGAGGGAAGAAAAAAGTCAAATCAAGTGAAAGAAATCCTACTCGGGAACAAATTTGAACGCATAAGCTGTCTGCTGAAATACTTTTTGCGAAAAAAGCTGTACAAAGCAATTCTCCTTTAGTGTGAGTTCCGGTACAGGGAATTGAACCCTGAGCTGCCGCGTAACCGAACAAGCTGTTAGATTCATGAGAGGCGGCAATGTTAACCATTACACCATACCGGACAGAACAAGTCAAGTTGATGATGTACCTGAAGGGAGGCGGATGATGATGTCGCTAGAGCGCGCACTGAGCTGAGTCGAGCAACTAGATAACGAGTTGTGGCTGGATCTGAGATTCGAATCAGTTGATGACATCGCCTCTTGCACTCGCCACTCCGGTCCAGACTCGTACCTCCGAAAGTCCAAACACGGATCTACGAAAGTCCACACGGCCGCTGGCTTTTGTAACCCAAGCCGTATCATGAAAGCTGCTGTCAAGCACAAGATCCAGGGCTGCAAAAACTAACTTGAAGAACCTTTTGACTGAAAACGCCGCAAGCAGCTTTGCAGACCAATCCGGTTTTTCTCGACGGGCTACTTCTTGTCTCCGAGAGAAGAATACGGTTCGGGGAATGAGGCATTGATGAATGAGCGAGTACAAGGTAGTCATTCCAGAGCCATTGCGGTGCAGAGCGCGAGGGTAGTGGATAGCTCTTTGATCCCGAAAGCTTCAATATGGATGGATGGACTCGTTGAAGCTCTTACCTTTCCAGTCTTTCCTTCCTTCATGCATCTTTTTCTCCGGTGGTCGAAGAAGGTAGCGTCATTCCATTTTTTCTTTCGCAGCAGGCGCAAAACAGGATAGCGGCGGAACAACAGGATGGTAAAGAGGTGGCCCTTCCTCTGTACCTTCATAGAATCATGCTGGAGGAACGGAATCGGTGCATAGGGATGTTGATGAGCTGGTCATTGTCTTCTGGCAGCAAGACTGGTAGAATATACTTGTAACGTGCAGTGGGGGTCGTGACAAGCACCTGATTTTCCCAGCACGTGGGTGCACCGCGTCATATTGATCAGGATAGTAAAGACTTTAGGACGCGACATCAACACACAAATAGGTAATCATTAATCAATTATGGAGCCCCTATTTGTTGGATAAAGATGTTGTAATTGGATGTGCTGAATGACTTGACAGTGTGTTGGATGACTAAGTTCATCGTTGCATTGAAAGGGGTGGATTCGGGCTCGGGATATATGAATCGGATGCAAAAGGAAGCTAGAGGAATGCGTCGAGTGAGATGGTGAAAGGGAAAAAGTGACAACCATTGTCGGTCATGCAATATTTGCAGCCATGGTACAGGGAATCGAACCCAGAGCTACGGTGCACAAATGAGCTCTGCCAAACGACTCCATGAGAGGTCGCAATTTTAGCTGATATACTCCCTAGCGAAAGTGTTGAGTACTACACTTGCCTCACTATAAAGTGGTACTCTACCTGCCATAAAGTATTAGGATCTATACTTACCATAAAAAACTTTCACACCCTTCCCTTCACAACCCATTCTTCTCTAAATTCGAGTTTGACATGTCAAGTCAAAACGACTCATTTTGGACACTTGTATGTCCCCTGCAGCCGCAAGATCTCCAGATACCCATGCAGCCGACTTTGATCCAGATGGAAGAAAAAAGCAAAGTAACATAACAGAATCCCTGGTCGCGAGCAAATTCCAGTACAGGGAATCGAAACCTGAGATACCACACAAACAAGCTGTGCAAAACGCCCTCATGAGAGACGGTATATCCTCCAGAGCAAAAGTGTTACTATACCTATATATCATAAAACATGCCAAGCCAGAACAACCCATTCAGGACATGTCGATGAAGCTGAGTGCCCCGCGCAGCCGAAAGCTCTCTAGAGACCCCGTCCACTTCAGTCCCGACATCGAGAAGTGAAGTGAAGCGGGGGAGGTCGAGTGAGAGGGAAGAAAAAAGCCAAGTCAAGTGAAAGAAATCCTACTCGCGAACAAATTTGAACGCATAAGCTGTCTGCTAAAATACTTTTTGCGAAAAAGCTGTAAAAATGAGTATTCAATGCAAGTTCCGGTACAGGGAATCGAACCCTGAGCTGCCGCGTAATCAATCGGGACTGTCGTTCAATGAGAGGCGGCAATGTTAACCATTACACCATACCGGACATAATGAGATGAGTTGATGATGCACCTGGAGGGAGGCGGATGATGATGATGTCGCTAGAGCGCGCACTGAGCTGAGTCGAGCGACTGGATAACGAGTTGTGGCTGGATGGCGAAGAGGTGCTCGGTGGTGGTTCCACCGAGGCTCTCTGTGACCTCCACTGTCTCCTGGTGGTGGCAACTCGACGGAAATCGATTTGGACTTGGTGGAGGTGCATCAACGACTTCGGACGTGATCTTGAGGGGAGGACCTTTGCCGCTGCATCGAATTTTGTCTCTACACTTGGGCTTTACAGGCCTAGGTACCGATACCACGCGCTTGACGTAGCAGCAGCCTGACAGCCTCGGCTCAGCGATCCGGCGTCTCGACGTGGTAGCCTCGGTTCAAAGAGCATTTTGGCGGAACCTGCTTTTGACTAAGCTGTGGTGTGCGCGTTTGGAAATCGGACGCACCTCTTATAACAAAAATCCAATGCGCAGCGGGTCGTGACGCGCATCTGATTTTCCCAGCACGTGGGTGCAGCGCGTCATATTGACTCACAGTATGCGTGCACAAGTACAGGTACTCAATTATAGCGTCCCTATTTGTCAGATAAAGGTGTTGTAATCGAATGTCAGTATTCCAATGCAAAGATTGTGGCTGAATGACTCGACAGACCAAGTGCATCGTTGCATTGAAAGGGCTGCATTCGGGCTCGGGATATATGAATCGGATGCAAAAGGAAGCTAGAGGAATGCGTGAGTGAGATGGTGAAAGGGAAAAAGTGATATTAACTGAATTTGTCGCCACTATTCCGGTACAGGGAATCGAATATAAACGTATTTTTCATCGGAAAATACAACATCCTACCTGAAATCCTACTTGCTACCTTCAACTTCGTACTTGATTTCCTACTTTGTACCTCATAGATTCAGGTTTTCTGTACTAAGATTTCCTGTACTTTGGGGTATAAAGGAAGCACTTCAGGTTTCTCCAACATGCTACAGACATCACTGACAGTTCGAGGTTCAGGTAAGGTGCTACTTCGAACAGTCAGGTGATGGGTTTGATGCGAGCTACTTGCTACTTGCTACTTGCTACCAAACACTAGCAGGTTCGTGATATTCCTACTTTCTAGTGCTAGATATGAATGGTATGGAGAGGTTAACGACAGGTTTATTCCATATTGACAGGTTGAACGGCATTTCGGACAGGTTGAGCGGCATTTCGGACAGGTTGAGCGGCATTTCAGACAGGTTGAGCGGCATTTCAGACAGGTCGACTGACTTATAATATGATTGATTGCCTCAGGAATCAAATATCCGAAAATACAAGTTATTAGACTAGAATTCATCATCATAAAGGACACGTAAAAAAGTCAGGGCATTAACCCAGGCAGAGGTTACATTATGAACTTCATTGCTTCCAACCCAAGGGCTAACCAGTTCATCAAGGCGATGAATAACAGTCTGCTCAAAGACAGCTACTGCTGGAGGGTCAACGATAACCTGATTAAGGTTAGGAGGAGGTCCACTTTGGCCAATCCATGATGTCGAAGCTTCATTAGAAGGAATATGAGTGTTTTGGTGGTGTCGGATACGGTCGTCATTGAAAGCCTCCCAATCAATTCCATAGGTTTCCAGCTCTTCATCGGTCAGTTCAAGCTCGTTTCCTCGGACTCCAAGAGCGAGCATGTCGAACACGAACATGTCTATAGGGCTGTGGCTGGGGCCATTGCGTATTTGGATGCGGTGATTGTTCCAAGCATCTGCGAAGAAGTCGAGCTGTTGGTTGATTGCAGGGAGGAAAAGATGGTGAAGAAGCCACAGATGGTTGTCGTTGTTGATATTGAGACCGTACTGTAGCTCCAACATATAGAAGAGCTCGCGCCACACTTCAGTGACCTGGGCAGTCACGTCTACCCAAAGCCTCTCGATCCGAACGTTATGGACACTCCTGACATATCAAATGAGTTCTACAACACAAAGAGAACTTTGGTTTTAGATTACTTGCCTCCCCCATATATAGGATCCTCTGTTACGCCCAGCATGTCTTTCCATCCATTCAGCAACTGAGAGGTTTTCAGCTCCGTGATCACCTCTGAGACGTGAAGGAACCCCATATCTTTGTGCCGCTATCAAAAACAGCTCAAGGACAGTAGATGCTCTGTTGTTGTCGCTGGCGCGAAGTCCAGTAATAAGGCGAGAATAGCCGTCAATGTAGCCATGAATGACAATACGCCATCTGATGAGCCCTGAAAAAAATCAGAGAAAGGATTTTGGTATCTGAGCTAACATACCGTGCTGCCCATCATGATGCCATAAAGCATTTGGGCCTGGGACAGTGTAACCCCTTTGTCGGATTCTAATGCGGTCGAATATACGGTGGACTGGGTCAATCCTGAGTAGTGATTCTCTAATTCTCCTCCTCTGAACACGATGTCCAAGATGGCGCAGCATTCCATCCAGCATAGAGATACCAGCTCTGCTATAATTCGTGCGAAGCAAACAAATTAGCTGGTCCAGTTCATTGTCGGACATGGTAGAAAGGTGACCTGCCCGTGGCTGGAGATGGGGTGGGTCGGAAGCAGGCTGGTGGACTGTTGAGCCAGGATTATCTGGATTCAACAGATCATCATCCTCTGGAGATGCGGCCAGCATAGTGAATTCAGAGTCGTCTCCATCTGGATTTTGTACGTCTGGAATTTGGTGAACAAATCCTGGAGCTTGACCTGGCTGAGCTATGCCATATTCAAGCAGCAATCGGCGGATGGTAGTCCGCCCAACATTGAAGAAATGAGCGACTGAACTGGTAGAGCGCTGAGAATACGCCCAAGCCAGTAGGACAGGATCAATGATGGTTCTAGGACGGCCTCTGCCACCTGTATGCACAGTCTGAACCATGGTGGGTCTTCCATGGTGAGAGGCCTCGATAACCTCGTCATACCGAATGCGGAGATCAAGCTGCATCTGAGCTATATTTGAAGCAAGGATAGCGGCCTCGTCAGGATCCAGATAGTGACCAAACTGTTCCAGATTCAGGAGAATGTCTTCGAAAAATTCAGATACTAA